CGGGCTGGCGTTTCATTCAAAAGGCGCGCAGCCTGCGCGGTCTCCTTGCGCTCTCCGAGTCGGGTCGGGGCACCGCGTCTTTCGGGGTAGCCGGGCTGCTGGAGCTCCGCGGCGCGGCCAGGTAAAGAGAGCTCTCTGCGGCCAGGACCGGGGGGCTGCGCTGCCGAGTGGCGCCCCCTGCCTCCTCCGCGTCTCTGAGGAAGTTCGCTCGCGCGGCGGATGCCGCAGCCCCAGCCGGCGCTTCCCGACCCCGGCGTCCTGCCCCGGCGTTTTCCTCAGAGCGGGCGCTGGTCTCTGAGCCCTCGCTGAGCCCCCTGCCCGGGGACCTGCATGTCCTTTGGCCGCGACTCGGGGCCCGGCTGTGCGCCGTGGGAAGTAGCGGCGTAACTTGCAGTTTGCGGAGCCCGCGGGCCTCCGAGACGCCCCCGGCCCGCGAAACTTGGAGACTAGGACCGGGTGCAGGACTGGGCGGCGGTGTGTCAGTGCGGCGGCGGCGCGGGGCGGCCGGAGGGGGCTCTGAACGGTGTCAGCCGGCGACTGTGAGTGACACGGCGCGTGAGGCGGCCCAGCCGGAGCGAACGTGTGGCCGGAATACTGGTTGGTGACGCCGGACTGAACGGGAGACACAGAGGGGCTCTGTGTGTCTGTGACAAGCAGAGTGTGTCCGTGTGGTTGTGTGAGAGACCCCAGTCACTGAGGGTGTCTGTCACCACGCTGAGGGAGACCTCGGGTCACCGGGGTCACTGAGTGTGGCCTGGGTGTCACTAGGGCTGGGCCCTGGCCACTCGTAAATCAATGTGAGTGAAACAGAGAGGAAGCCTAAGTGACTAGAGAACCAGCTCCCAATCACCAGGGCCATGGTGTGGGTCAGGTAATGTGTGTTGCACCTCAGAGCAGTAAGGAGCAGAAAGGAGGGGCCTCAGACTCACTCTGACTAATGGGGAGGCCCCAGAGGGAGGGCTGGGGATTTGGTTGCCCCTGGACTATCCCCAAGAAGGCACCCCTCAGGAGCTCAGCTTAGTGTGTTGGGGGTGGGCCCTGGGTGATTTGCCCTGTTTGTGGGAGAGAGGCCTGAGGCAGGACAGCTCCTCCTGGGGTGACACCTCTAGCTGCAGCTACCCCCTCTGAGGTAGATCCAGGCTCCACCTCCCAAACACAGACACACACACACATTCTCTGTGTGGCTGGCTGTCTCTCTCACTGTCTCTCACACACATTCTCTCTCTCGCGCGCTGTCTCTTGATTTCCCTGATGGCCTGGCAAAACTCTGCCGCCTGGCAACTCATGGAGCCCAGGTGCATCTTTCTCTCAGGCCTTGCCCCTGCCGGGACTCAGTCTCCCCCTCAGCACTCTGAGGTGTTGAGCTGCGAATGAACTGTGAATCATCACTTTGGGATCATCTATTGTTTTTGGGTCAACTGCTTCTGTTCTTCTTTCCTCCTTTCAAGCAGAAAGACTGCAGTGGGGGTTGGGGGCAGCTGTCTGCCAGGGACACAGTGACCTGGGGGTTGCACCCAGGTGCTGGTGACAGGGTTAGAAGCACCACCCACTCTACAGTTGCCCTGGTCCTTAAGCCAAACTTGATCCATAGACTTTGACATCTCTGGCCCAGATCACCTTTCTTCAGCTCCCGGTTTGTATATAGGGGAGAGAGGGCATGAACTTGTTCCCCACAAGTGATCTGGATTATGGGAGCAGGGTCTGTTCACTGTCTTGGCTACACCCCTTTGAGAACCCCTTGCCCACAAGAAGGTCTGCCAGGTATGGGATAGAACTGAACTCCCTAACTCTGGAGGGCTGATGGGGTGGGGGGGTACCTGCTGAGTGGTCTGAAAGTTCTGTCCTCTCCTGTCACCCTCTGAAAATGTTGACTGCATTCTGGGTAGGTGTACTGTACCTGTACTGCTAAACACCTTATGGCGTGCTCTTGTTCACTTCTCACAGTGGTTTTGAGATGTGGAGACTGTTTATTAAAGAAGGAAACTGAGGTTCAGAGAGGCAAAAGTGACTTTTCCAAGGCCATGCTGAATTGGGACAGTGCCAGGACTGGTTTCTGTATGTGAAGGCCAGTGAGATGTTTTATCTGTCTTGGCTTATCTGAGCTTCCTTCTCTTAAACCCAGACTGGTAAGCAAGAACTTGACAGGATGTGTGGGTTCTAAGCGAGGTGTGGTTGCACACATGTCTGAAACATTGGGGGTGGGATTACATGGGTCTTCCTGTTCATTTTACTCTTCCCTAGCCCCAGCTTTCCTCACTATCCAGAGGTCACCAGAAAGGCCTGTCTCCTGTCTTCTAGAACCTACTTCTGGCTTTGAGAGTGTGCTCATATCTGAAAAGTTTTGGGGGTCAGTAGCAGCAGTCTCCGAGGGAGGCAAGGATAGTTGAGCATCCCAGTTGACCCTCATCATATTTGAAAAGTCCCAACTCCCCTCCTCAGAGTTGCTCTAAGGGCACTTTCCCAGATCCACTCAGATGCTGTGTGACTTCATTGTGCCCACCCTTTTTTGGACCTTACTCTCCCCACTCTTCCCCACAGGTCCCTGTTAGTCTGATCACTGCTGTCGCTTGTGAGAGCTGGAGCTGGGGACCAGGGTGTCCCTTGGTTCCCTCTGGAATGACTAGAGCTGTGCTTCTTGGGCTTGATCAGAATAGCTGCCTTGGTCTCCTGGGGCTGAGCCTGAGTTATTTCTGTCCCCAGCAAAGAGATGGAAATAGCTCAGGGCCTGGGAGGGAGAGGGAAAGGAGATAGGTTAACCAAGGGTTAATCTCCCCTTTTGGTTCTAGACCCATTGGAGCCCCTCTTATCCTCCCACCGCATCCAGTCCCCACACTACTCAAGTTAAACCTTCGTGGAACTCTGGTATGGTAGGGATGATGGTAGGACCATTTTAGGTTCTTACCTGGTTCTAGTTGTGATAGTGGCTGGAGGGAAGTGCCCATGTCTGTCCAAGAAAGGAGAGCTTTGAAGGGCCGTTAACACCCAGCCCTGCTCATAGACCCAGCCCCATTTTACTGAGGGAGAGACAGGTTCTGAGACATGCTGAGATGGACTCACCCAAGGTCCCAAAGAACCCTGATAGTCTGGCTGTCATCACCAGACAGAGTACCTACTTTGGCCTGCCACACATTCCCCAGATGCCTGGAGGTGGCCCAGTACTGGCAACAGGCCCCAGATACACACCTTCACAAGATCAGGGATGCCTCTTATGTTCCATCTCTGGCCCAGCTGTCCTGCTAGACTCCTATACTGACTTCTCCATCTCCAATTTGAGGTCCTCACACATGCCAGAACAACCCCTCCTCATCTATGAAAGACGTCCAGACTCCTCATCCTAGCACTGAGGCTTTTCCCTCCAAGACCCTTTGAACTTATGCCTTTCCCCTCTTTCTGGACATTCAGGTACAGCTCTGTTGTACCTGGGAAGCCCTCCCAGCCTATTTTGAATTCCTCTTCATTGTTGTGATCAGGTGTCCCCCCTCTGGGAACAGGCCCAGGTGTAGGGGATTCATGGGCCCCATTCACCCAGCAGGTGCCCAGCAGGCTGCCTCCTGCTGCCCCTATGAGCAGGCTAGTACTCTTCTTGAAGAAGAGCTGCCCTAATAAGCTGAGGGCCTAGTGTTTGCTGGACTGCACAGGAAGGTTTGCACAGAGGCTCTTTGATGCTTGCAAATATGCACTGGGTGTTTAGGGAAGAAACTTAAAGCTACCACATGGATAGGACTGAGTTTGGAGGTTACTGTGGGTCCTTCTCAGGCAAGGCCTTCACACAGGGCCTGCTGAGAACTGCTGTATACCAGGCCCTGGACTCAGGTCTCTTCGAAGCAGTATTGAGGAAGGATTACACTCCTTCCTGCTGCTTCGTGGGAACCAAGGCTGGGAAAACAGAGAGGACTAGCTCTAGTATCACTTCCACAGCTGTGGGTGCCAGAGTTTGGTACTCGGCTCACCCAGCTGCAGCCAGGGTACAGCTCCTCAGGAATTCTGCCATCAGTTTTCAAGAAGTACCAGGTGGACTATCTGCAGCAGGAGGAGGAGGCTTGTTGGTGCTGCTCAGATTCCCTTTATTGTAGGCCTGGCTCTTCTGTCAAGAAAGAAGGGGTGGGAAGGAGGTTTTCACAGATCTGTTCACAGGCCATTCAGGACTGGGAGTGCTAGAGTGTGGTCTCTGCTCTGTGCTGAGATCCTGGATGTCCAGGCCTAGGCTTCTTGCGCTGGCTGAGGCTGAAGAGGTCAGGAAGGAGGGCTCCAGTGCTATATCCCTACTGTGTGCCCACTTGTGGGAGATCTCAGAACTCTCATATCTTCAGCTTCAGCCTCATGCCTGAGGTCAACAGTCCCAAGCAGGGAAGAGCGAGACTTAGTATAAGTTCCTAGTGTCAGTGGGATCCTAATCCAGGTCTGCCTGCCTGGAAGGCTATAGCTCTTCCCTGGCCACCCTAGGAAAGATGAGAGCTCTATAAATAAACTGCCCATGTGGCTGTGAGTGTGTGCCCTGGCTACTTGGCACAGGCGGAAAGGCATAGAGGTGCCTCCAGCCAATTAGAGACAGGGTCTGAGTGGCGGGTGGAGGGAGAAGGAATTAGGGATTCCAGAAGGAGAAACCAGAGCTTGAACCTGCTCCTGGAGAAGCCGCAGGGAGGGGCTGACCCTGTTGTGTTGCCAGCCACCTGGACACATTTCACCTTTCTGCCTCTCTCCCTCGAAGGAGACCACAAACCGTGATGACCAAAGGGGCCAGGAAAAGGGGAGGGAGACTGAGAAGGAAATCAACACATGCCTTCCTTGTTGGGGCCTCAGCCCGGAACCCAGTACCCAGAACCCTCTCAGGCCAAGGTGCTTCCCTCAGACTGCTGGGCATGACATTGGGTTCATGACATTGTGTGCCCACCTGAGCCACACAGTGACCTTAACTGGATGCTGTTTGAGTCTGAGCTTGGCTGCTCCTCTGACTCTTCTGGCTGTGGTGAGACTGGCAACCCTGCCAGTACTGCCGACAGTGCTTCCCCTTGTCCCTGCAGCATCCCCAGAGGCAGGGACTAACACTTCTCTTTGCAGAAGAGGACCCCAAAACTCAGGGAAGTTAAACTTTCTGGAGGCCACAGAGTCACTTAAGTTCCC